GTGTTGGTGGCGGCGGCGGCGGGGCCCAGGGCCCAGCAGAGCCACAGCGGGCCCAGGGCCCAGCAGAGCCACAGCGGCCTCAGCGCCGCGCTCGCCATGGCAACCGGGCCCGCGCGCCACGTGACCTCTCCGCGCGCCGCACGTGACCGCGCGCGCCGCACGTGACCGCGGGCCCGCGGCACCACGTGAGCCGGCGGGAGGGGCGGGGCCAAGATGGCGGTGTGCATCGCCGTGATCGCCAAGGAGGTGCGGGGACACGGCCGGGCCGCGGGGACACAGGGGATAGCGGGGACGGGCTCTGCGGGCTGAGTGGGACAGCGGGGACAGCTGGTGTCATGCGGCCTGAGTCCGGCCGGGTGGAGCAGTGAGGTCTGAGCAGGGAATAGAGGCCTCAGGTTGAGGGGAACAGGGGGTCAGTGGGGTGTGGGGAAGGGTGAGGGGAAAGAGGCTGGGGCTCTGGTTTTGGGGTGCGAGCAGGACTGGGGCTGTGGGGCCGGGGAGAGGGGAATGGGCAGGATGTCGGGCTGTGGGGTCTGGATAGGGGTGAGGGCAGCACAGCAGAGCCAGGGGCAGTGGGGCAGACACTGGGGTGAAATGGGCTGGGCAGGAGCAGGACGGGCACAGTGTGAGGGTGCTCTGGGCTGTCCTGCTGGGAGAGAAGGGTTTTCCTTGGAAGAGACAGGCACAGGCTCTGCTGGGACAGGAGAGCAGACACACCTGTGTCTTGTGTGGTGCCTGTGAAAATGGCTCTGCTGCCATGGGGACAGCAGTGCTGCAGCGTGGGAAGGGGGCTGTGCTGGGAACGTGAACAGTTAAAGTGCTCTGACAGCAGCAGATCCCAGCCAGTGTGATTTGTTCTGCTCCCAGAATTACCCCCTGTACATCCGGAGCGTCCCCACAGAGAACGAGCTGAAGTTCCACTACACCGTGCACACCTCCCTGGACGTGGTGGATGAGAAGATCTCAGCCATGGGCAAAGCCCTGGTGGACCAGAGAGAGCTGTACCTGGGGCTCCTCTACCCCACTGAAGACTACAAGGTGTATCTTTGTCATGCCTTTGGCCATTGTGGGTTTAATTGAATCACAGGATATCCTGAGCTGGAAAGGATCATCCAGTCCAACCCCAGCCCTGCACAGACACCCCAGCAATCCCACCCTGGGCATCCCTGGCAGCACTGTCCAAAGGCTCCTGGAGCTCTGGCAGCCTCAGGGCTGTGCCCATTCCCTGGGGAGCCTGGGCAGTCCCCAGAACCTTTCCCTGATCTCCAACTAAACCTTCCCTGTCCCAGCTCCAGCCCTTCCCTGGGTCCTGTCCCTGCTCATAGGGAGAACAGCTCAATGTCTGCCCCTCATGAGGAAGTTCCCTCATGTTTCCTCTCAGTTTGGGCACATTCCAGCCTGGTTTAGTGGCTGTGTGACAATCCTTAACCCTGCCCAGGTACGGCTACGTGACCAACTCCAAGGTGAAGTTTGTCATGGTGGTGGATTCCTCCAACACAGCCCTGAGGGACAACGAGATCCGCAGTGTGAGTGCACCAGGGCAGAGCCACCTCGGTGGGTCTGCTCCTTCCAGCTCCTCAGGAAGTGCTGAGAAACAAAAGATTAACGACTTCACCCCCTCTCCCTTTTCAGATGTTCCGAAAGCTGCACAATTCCTACACAGACATCATGTGTAACCCTTTCTATAACCCTGGGGACAGGATCCATTCCAGGTGAGTGGGTTGTCCACATGGATCTGTCTCTTTGACACCTTTCTGGAATTTTCAAGGCACCTCTGATGCAACAGGACTGACCCTGTGGTTGGCCAGTTCAGGTGTGTGTGCTCTAAGTGCTTTAATGAGAACAGTGATGTTGGTTTTGGGCCAGTCTTACTCACTAAAAACTGATGGTGTCATAAAAAGTTATATTGAACTCACTCCTGCCTCAGAACTGAGGTCACAAACATTAAGGCAAGAAAATGTTTGTTTTTTGGGGGAGAAAAAAATTACCTGAAAATAGAGGTAAGCAATATTGATGGCCTTAGAAGTCTTTTTCAAATTTAATAGTTGTGAATATTAAAATGTGACAGGAACAGGTTAAAGAGTGAACAAGTGCCTTGTCCGGGGTTTATCCTCAGGTAAGGACAAACATTCAGCACATGGAATTCCTTATCTATGAGGGTCAGTGTCCCTGTTGTCCCATTGTAACCTCACAGGGAATTTTAATAAATTGGGAGTTCCTATGGCCTAGGCAAGAACAACTTTGCAGAGACAGGGCAGCAGCCAGGGTAAGACCTTTCCTCACTTCTGCTTAATTAAAATTCATTAATCCCTCAACAGCCTGTGCTGTAAAGAGTAAAACCCCGTGTCCAGCTTAGGAAAAGCCAGGCAGAGGCAGGGTGAGAAAGTGATTTTGTTACAAAAGCTGTGCTGTGCAGAGTGAGCTGCTTCCTTTAATAATGTGTTTATTTTCCTCTCCAGGGCTTTTGATACCATGGTGAACTCCATGATGATGCAGGTGTGCTGAACCCCTTCCCACCCCCCTGGGAAACATTCCCTGTGTGCAGGAGCGTGCCTGCAGTGCTGTAAATATTCCATTCTGTACAATAATTTAAATTTATTCTGTGTAAAATAAACCTGACACACCTGCAAGGCTTGCCTGGATTTGTACTGAAGCAAACAGAAACCACTGCTCACAGAATCATGGAATGGTTTGGGTGGGAAGGGACATTAAAGCCATCTCATTCCATGGGCAGGGACATCTTCCACTGTCCAGGCTGCTCCAACCCCCTGGAACAAGAGGAGCTGCTCTGAGGTCCCTTCCAACCCAAACTATTCCAGGAGTTTCCCTGCCTGGGCTGATTTCTGAGTCACTGTTTGCTGTTACCACTTTGCACCTCATCCAGACACACTCCACAGTGATTCCCAGCCCAGGTAGAGCAGCTGGAATAAATCCACCCAATCCAGCCAGGGATTAAGCCATCAGGATTGCACAGCTGCCTGGCTCATCCCAAATTAATCTCTATTAGCATCTCCTCCCCTGCAGCTCCCTGCTGTTCTAATTACAGACTCCCAAATCAGTAGCAGGTATTTATATGGAATAAAAGCACAAATTGCACTGGAAAAGCATCCCAGCTTCATCACTCCTGCTCCAGCAGAGGAGATGCAAGCAGGAGCAGGCACACCTCCACTGCAAAGCAGCTCATCAGTTAAAAACCACAGAAACCAGCTAAAAATAACAGATCTGCCCAGCCCCAGGGGATCCCAGGAGCCTGGAGAAAGCCAGAACTGCACACCAAGTTCACACAGCAGGATCATTTATTTTAAAAATAAGTAACAGTTTCAAATACTTTCTCAAACAGAACTTAAGTACATTATATCAGCAACCACCTGGAATATCATGGGAGGTTCAAGCCTCTCCCACCACCTCCACGAGGCACAGCTGTGCACTGCTATCCACAAACATTTTCATCTAAAAGACTTGGCTGTTTTCACTCACAGAGATGGCAGCTCAGTGTTGCCTCTTCCACAAGAGAGTCTGAACACCCCAAAGTGGTTTTTTATTTAAAAATAACCCTCAAAAAATTATAATCCTATCAAACAGAAGCCCTAGAAAAAGGTGGTTTATAGTCTAAGCCTAAGGGTAGCTGAAATCAAGGTCAGTCTCAGCAGCTCTGAGGACCGTATCAACACAACATTAAGAGTTAAGGACCCAAGCTTTAAAAAATACCTAGAAATCTTAAAAGGAAAAAAAAAAGAAGTTGGATTTTTAACCTGGCAATGCCCCTGAGATCTGAAAAGCTGCTTTAGGAGTCAGTTGCATCTGGGTTAGAGGAAGCCTAACCAAAGATCCCATAAGATTAGTGAGAGAATTAGATAATAAAACCTATTTAAACATAAAACATGCAGAACTTTCCCCAGGAATGCTGTCTGCAAAGGTTCCCAGCCTGTCTCTTCTAACACAAAGTTTTTCTTTTAAAAACATGTGGCTTCAGAGCCCATAAACACAAAATCAGCAGGAAAGGGCAGAGCCAGGAACCTTCTTCACTGGTACCCAGCTCCTGTGGTGCTCTTTGGTCCTGAGCCTCCAGCAGGGCTCACACCATCCCCAAATGTGACTCCAGAGCAGGAAGGGTGATGAGAATGAAGAGGGAGACCAGATCAAAGTTTCACCAGTGAAGATGATTTTGAAATGCTGCTACTGCAAGAAATAAAGTCAAATGAGGAGTTGCCAGAACCCTTTGGCCCCTGAAGCTTGGAATGAAAGCAGGAGGGAGGGAAGAGGGGTTTGCTGACATCCAAAATTAAAAAAGAGGAAGGGTTTTGTGACACCCAGGTCTTGGTTAACTACCACAGAGATACAGAGGCTTCCAGAGAAACAAGGGATGCTTCTTCCCTGTTCTGGATGTGCAAATGCAGCAAACTAAAAACCAGACCCAAACCCCATCAGGCTTCCCAAGAGGAAGGTCACATCCATAGGGCTGATGAAGGAAAAGCTCGCCAGCCACCAGATCTGGAGTTGCAACCCAAAACTTCCCATGGATGTGGGAAAGGAAACAGTCTTTAGGATCTTAGGAAAAGAGAAGGCAGAGTCCAGCTGCTGTAGGAAGAGCTGAGGGAGGTTCATGGCCAAGCAGTGGCATGGAGGGCATCCAGCCAGCCAGGAGCCAAACCAAACCCTCCAGGACAGTCCTTTTCCATGGGATAAGGAGACTTGATGGTCTGGGAGAGCTCTTCCTTTCCCAGGACAGTGTTCTCTGGAACGAGCCTGTTCTCCGTGCAAACACAGTCCCCTGGGCAGAGCTGAGGTGGGATGAGCTCTCCTGGGATGCTGGCAGGATGGAGCAGATCCCATCTTCCCTCCTGCAGCCCAGCACAGGGCTCACCAGTAATCCTCACAGCCAGGCAGATGGCAGTTTTAAAATTAATCTGGTTTTTGGCTTGGGTAGGTGTTTTTTAAATCTCTCCAATCCCATCTCCTCGTCTCAGTCCCATCGGCATTGCCAGGCAGTCCAGTCCTTGCTAGTATGGAAAATACCAAGGCAGCAGCCTGGCCCGACCCCTAAACAGGAACAAAACCAGCATCCTGAAGCACAGGGGCACAGCTCCCTGCTCCTTCAACCCTTCCCAGGGCTAGGATTCCCCCTCTGCACAGCACCTCCTAAAACAGGGGAGCCCCAAAGCCAGGCACAGGCTGGGAGTGCGATGCCCACCCACCACTCCCCAAATTCCTGCAGGGACAGGGTGACAACTCCAAATTTCCAGGCATTCCTTCCTCCCAGAGCCCTTCTCCATTTTCACACCCATGTCAGGAGCCAACACAGGGGAGAGCAGGGAACACTGCTCCACACCTGGGGACCCCCCATGCCCACAGACTCACCTGTAGGTCCTCCCTCGCACCCTGGGCTGCTGTCCGTAGAAGCCTCCCCAGCGGCCCAGCCCTCCCCGGGCATGGAAGAAGCCCCGGTAGCCCCCACGGTCGGTGCTGCTGATGCCAGGCATGTTGGTCCTCTTGGGCAGCACCTGGAGAGTGGGGAGAGGCTGCTGGAGTTGGGATTTGGCACAGCCCCAGGCAGCCAGGGCTGGGAATGGGCAGGGAGCAGCTCCCGAGGGCAGCCTCAGCTCTCACCTTGATGACACGGCCCCTGAACACGCTCTCGTCCAGCTCCACCGCAGCCTTCACGGAGCTCTGCTCCTCAAACTCGATGTAGGCATAGCTGTGAGGGAATGGTGTGAGCAGAGCCCCAGGGACACCCTGGAGACCCCCAGGGACAACCTGGAGACCCCCAGCCCCCCCTGCACGCAGCACTGACCCTTTGGGGTGGCCCGAGAACTTGTCACAGAGGATGGTGACACGGTTGATCTGCCCACAGCTGTTGAAGTGAGACTCCAGCTCTTCTGCTGTGCCCCCGTAATCCACCTGCAATGACAGCCCCCACCCTCAACTGGTGGGTGTGGGACCCACAGCCCACCACGGGAGGCAAAGGGTCCAGCTGGGCCCACTCACACCTCCCCAGCACAGCTCAGCCTCTCCCGAGGGCCAGGAGAGTGCTGAGTGCTCCCACCTGGAACACAAATCCAAGAAGGTTTTGAAGGAACAGGCAACACCACACAACCCACAGGTTCCAGGGGCCTTTGGGGGAGCTGACACTTGCAACAGATGAGCTGCAAGTGGCAAATAATGAGCCACATTCCCAGGCTGGGCAGAGGAGAAACACTTGGGATGGGAACAGCCAGGTTTTGGTGGGGGACAGATGGGCACCGTGCCAGGGGTTTGGGACACACACCCAGCTGGGCACAGAGCAAGGGCTCCCACTTACATTGCCCACGTAGATGGAACGCTGGTCAGCCTCCACCTTCTCCTTGGTTGTCAGTGGGAAGAGAGCTGTGGAGAGGGGAGATTTGTCACAGACAGAGGGACATTTGTCTGTTCGCAGCACAGCTGACACACTGCAAAGCTCCTCAGATCCCTGGTCACAGCCAGGTGTATCCAAATCCTCACTCTGTTACCTGCTCCTCCAGCCCCTTGCCCCTTCTCTTTACACAGTGACTCCTCTACTGCGGCTGTTGGTACTAAACTTAATTACTTGACTGAATAAAGTGCAATTAAGTTAATTTACCACATCTAGGCCCACACAGGTAGGCAGTAAGAGCTGATGGGATCTCCATTAGCACCACACCAGGCCTAGGACCCCCTCACCCACCTTATGTGTCCAGTCCCGGGTACCCAGAGAGGCACAGCCAAATACTCTTGGCTCCAGTTGTCACCCTGTGCCCCAGAGGTGTCCCTGGGGAGGGACAACAGCACCCAGGGACAACCCATACCTGCTTCTGAGCTCATGAACAGGTGGTTATCGGCTTCCAGCTGCAACTCCTTCAACCTCTCATCCTCCTTCTCTATTTCCCGCAGTTTGGCTTTGATGGCCTCCAGCTCCTGAATCCCAAACCAAGAATTGCACGAACAACACATGGAGCAGGGATCACCCCGGGTGTAAAAAAGTTCCCCATTTCCTTTGGGCACCAGGGAAAACTGGTTCCCCATCCAGGCAGGCACTCACCGGGTCCTGAACATCCTGCTCCTCTGGCCTGTTCCCCTCCAGGGGGCTCGGATCTGAGCCCTCATCTGCTGCCTTACACACAGCTGCCACCTCTGTCGCGTCCCAGGACTCTGCCTCCGCTTTCAGGGGCGGTGGGTCCTGCCACCAGATCTCTGAAGTGTCCAGGAAGAGAGGACTGGGCGGGACAAGGGGCAAAAGGGCATTGAACCAACAGCGTAAAGCAACGTTTAACGTCTGAGCTAAAGCCCAACCTCAGCCGGGCAAAGGCTTGCAGGGCGTTTCCAGCAGGAGGGTGAAGAGGTGACATTAATGTAGCTGGTTCTCTGTGCAGCGCAACCCCAGAACCGCAAAGTGCAACTGAAACGTCTCCAGCTCGTACCGGACCGATTCCCAGTTCATGGGGGCTGCACAGGAGACCTGGAAGTAGCCGCCCTAAAGTGGAAAAAAAACCCCAGGGGGCACACGCCCGGCGGGTAGGGAAGGGAGGCAGGGAAAGGAAAGGAGGCCACCAACCAGCAGAACCGCCAGGCTACAGAGAGGGAGCAGCCGGGAGCGCTGCCTCCCGCAGCGAAGGCAGAGCCGCACCCGCCCAACCCCCGGAGGGCTCAAGGAGGGGCACGCCTTCCCTCCCAAGAGAAGGAGCCGTGGCGGCGGGGAGCAGGAAGGCGGCCCGGCCGCGCTCCGGGGTCGGTGGCCGAGCCGTGCCCGCCCGAGGCCCCGCACGCACCTGGCCCGGGCCCCGAACATGCTGCGCGCGGCCCGCGCGAGCGGCGACCACGTGCGGCTCTCCCGCCACCACGAGCGGGGCTCGCGCCCGCGCGCCACTTTCACACATCAGCGGCCAATCGGAGCGCGCCGCGCGCCAGGCCCCGCCCGGAGGGACCCGCCGCCCTCCCCCGGGGGCCGCGGGTTCGAGACCCGGCAGCGACGCTCAGCTGGGGCTGATAGGAGTGGGCCGGGCCCGCTCCGCCCCGCCCGTGCACCGAGCCCGCCGGGGGTGCCGGGGGCTGCAGCCAGCTGGGAGCATGGGGGGAGCAGTGGGACTCATCCCTTTGGGGGCACACCTGAGTTCCCCCTCCTTTGTAGTGGCCGGCCCCAGGGCTGTAATGACCCCCCCCGAGCCAGGATTGGGGGCACAGAGCGCACAGTGCTGCCAGAAGTTGGGGGGCGAGGGTAACCCAGCACATGCCCAGGCTACGGAGCCTCTGGTTGATATTAAATTGTCTTTATTACACAGATACAGAGTTAAGAACAGACATAACCTGAATCATAAAGTTTACATCTTTCACAGGTCAAACATACAGTACACTTAGAGAAAGCGGGGAACAGCAAGGGGGGGACAGCATGCCGAAGGAAAAGTCCTACCACGTCATCTCTCTGGGCTGGCCCCACACCCCACGCCTGGCCTTGGCGGGGGGCTCTGGTTTTCAGGGCCCCCCGTGCCCCGGTGTCCCCATCCCAGGGCTGGCAGAGCAACAAGGGCAGGGCTCAGCCCGGCACGGGGTCGGGGAAGCGGTGCTGCCGCAGCCAGGAGGGAGGGGGGACACTGGCACGACCTCCCTCCCTCCCCCCGGTGGCTTTCGGTGACATCGGAGGAGCCCCCAGGGCTGCCACCGCAGGGGGGACACCCCATCACAGTGCCTGGGACCTGTGCACACAGTGGCATCTTGTCCCCAGCTTCAGAGCCACTGGGATCCAGAGAGGCACCCCGAGGAGAAGGGGGGACCCCAGCAGCCCCCGGAGGAGGAGGAGGAGGAGGAAGAGGAGGAGGCGATGCTGCAGGGGGAGTTCGGGGGGCTCTGGCAGTGATGGAGCAAAAGCCTGGCAGGTGCGGGACCCCCGCTCCAGCCTCGCCGGGATGGGGCACTTTGGTTTCAGCTGGGATTTTGGGTCGGGAACGCGAGGAAAGCGCTGGAGAGGTGACCCGGGTGCCGCGGCTGGCACCGGAGAGCCACGTCCCTGCTGCCACCTCCCCAGCTCGGTGCCACAGCCAGCACCCTGGGCTCTGCCACGGCAGGGGGACCTGGCACACGCTGTCCCCGCGTCCCCAGCACCGTCCCCCTGCCCCAGCCGTGATGGGAGCAGGAAACCCGGGAGCTGCGAGCAGCCACGGGCACCTGATGTGGCACCTCGTGTCCCCACAGCTGTGCCAGCACCGCGCTGCTCAGCCAGGGCCACCTCCAAGGTGCCACAAAGCCACCAAAAGGTCACAGCACGTCCCTTGGCTCCCCACACACCCCAACAGGACCATTTTGGGGCGAACCCCCAGGGAAGCACCCACAGCACCAGCACAGCATCACTGCAGCCCCGCGGCCGCTCCGTCCTCCCCGCAGCACAAATTTATTATTTTTATTTTTGGGAAATCTCACATTTAAAGCTGTCGTTCTGGTTTGGCCGCCCATCACCACCGTCCCGCCCCCCCTCCCCTCCCTCGGCTTTTGGTTTCAATGCAAGGTTCTGTAGGGTAGTTTTATTCTTATTTAAAAAAAAAAAATTAAAAAAATTAAGAAATTAAAAAAAAAAAAATCACAATAATTCCAAAAAAGCAAACCGGCAGGGAGTGGAGTGGAAAGGAGAGCAGTCCCTGTGGAAGTGCTCTCGCCCGCGGTTTCCCGGCGAGGTGGAGGTAGAGAGGCAGAGCCCCGGCAGGAGAGGGGCCGGGGACAGACGGGGACAGGGCGGGGACGGGCCGGACACCCGGGCGAGCAGGGGCATCTGCAGTACTCTTATATATTACCTCTTCTCAGGAAACGTAAGAAAAATAGACAATATTACATATGTCACACCATAAATAAAGTGAACAGTCACGGAAGGGGCACCTGGCGAAGCTCCCAGGGTTGGGGGGCACAGAAACCACCCAGGGGGTGCACTGAGGTCTTGGGGGGCACAGAAACGTCCCTGGGGGGATGCACCAAGACCTTGGGGGGCACAGAACCTTCCCAGGAGGATGCACGGAGGTCTTGGGGTGCAGAGAAACCTCCTGGGGGGATGCACCAAGCCTCAGGAGAACCCTGGGAGGATTCAGTGAGATCTCGAGGTGCACAGAAACCCCCCCAGGGTGAGGCATCAAGGTCTTACGGGCGCACAGAACTCATCCGAGGTGAGGCACCAAGATTTTGGGGTGCACAGAACCCTCCCAGGGGATGCACCGAGGCCTTGGGGCGCACAGAAGCCCCAGCAGGGTGGGCACAAGGCCGGTGACATCACCCTCAGCGTGTCCCAAGCTCTGCTGTGGCCAGCCCAGCCCTGTGACCGACAGCACAACCCTTCCCCGGGCCCCGAGCCCTTCCCTCCTCTTCCTCCCCTACGGAAAACACACAGGATGGGTTTTGCAAATGCGGAAAAAACTACAGCTCCTCTCGATGCCAGGCCTCGCTCCGGCCAGCGCCACAGCTCCACGCTTCCTCCTCATCCTTTATTTGGCAAACGTCTCTTATTATTATCACTATCATTATTATGATTCATTTTTTGGACCTCTGCAGACACTATTTACATTCACATTAGCGCACAGCACTGCTGCCTCCGCTCGGAGCTTGGACTTTCCGTATTGCACTTCCGTCCTCCGCGCCGCTCCAGCGAGGCCACAATCCCAAATAATCCACACCGTCCTCGGCCAGGAAGGAGGCAGCGTTCCTTTTCCTTTTCCTCTTAAAAATCCTTGTGAAACAAATCCAGCGCGGGGTGCGGGAGCAGCTTGGCAGTGAAGGGATGGGGGGGGGTGGGTCCCCCGACGGCTTCGGGGAGGGAGAAACCCAAAATCTGTCTTTTAATTTCCTTTTTTTTTAATTTTTTTTATTATTATTCTCTCTTTTTTTTTTTAAATCTCCTTTTTGTTCTCCTTTTCCAGGGCGGTGGCGGGCAGAGGTAGAGATGTGCCGGCTCCAGCTGCGGTTCTCAGCCCCATCTCCCCCTCCCACACCTTGGGGGTTGGGGGTTTTAGTAAAAAAACCCTTTTTTTTTTTTTTTTTGCTTTATTTTAATAGAAATTCTTTAAAGCCCCAGGGGCATGTCCATCCATCCTTGTGGGGAGGGGAAGGAAGCGACAACAGAACGAAACGAACTTTGGCAGTGGAGAGACGTTTGGATCTTCCTTGGTTTTGGATTTCCTTTGGAGCAGAGGTGAGTCTGGTCTGTTCTTGGCTAGCTAGCAAGGTAGTTACAGGTGAGCGTCCGTCACGCGTCGTCTGGTTTTTGGATTTTTCTTTTTTTTTTTTTTCTTTTTTTTTCCCTTTTTTACAATTTCTTACTTAAAGCCAAAGAGTCCGACGTTTTCTTTTTTATTTTCTTTATTTTTTTTACCAAAAAAAAAAAAGGTAAAAAAAAAAAAAAGAAGGTTTAAAAAAAAAAATAGGAAGAGAGAGATGAAGAAAAGAAGGTTCTTTCCTCCTCCAAGTGAGCCCCTCAGCAGTGCAGCTGGGGGATGGGATCGGGCTGGTCTCTCCCCACAGCACCATGTAGCGAGGCTGGAGCCAAATCCCTCATCCAAAGAGCAAAAAAGGAAAAAAAAAAACCAAAAACCCCCAAAAAATTCCCAAACCACAATCCCCCAACCAATAGAAAACCAACTGAAAAAAAAAGCCAAAACAAAGACTGAAGAAAGAACAGAGACCGGTATTTGCCTTAACTCCACTTAAAGCCCAGTTTGAGGATCCGTGAGGATTAGTTGTGAGAGCTAGAGAGGTCGTTTCGGAGGTCACACGAGTCAGGTAGCTGAGGAAATTGCACCGGGTGCAGTCCGTGGCTCGGGCAGCCCGCGGGCGGTCAGCGGGACGCGCTGTCCAGCGGCGCCGGCGTGGCCGGAGTGCCGGCGCGGGACGCGGCCACCGAGCCCGCCTCGCTGGGGCTGCTGGCCATGGCAGGCACCCCGTCGGACTGGCCCGGCCCGGGGGCGGCGGGGCCCGGCAGCCCCTGCAGAGTCTGCCCGCAGACGTGGTGGTGCTTCTCCCAATCCTTGTGCTGGCAGAAGGAGCCGCAGTAGCGCGCGGTGTTGCAGCCGCTGCACGTCTCGCTCGCTTTCCGCCCGCAGTTCCAGCAGCTCTGCGGGAACGGGGAACACGGCCTCAGATCTGGAATGTGCACCCCCAGGCCAGGCTGGGCACCCTCAGCCAGGACCACCATCATCACTGGGACCACCACACACTCCATCATCCCAGACCGTGAACATCCATCCCAGAGTGTGTACATCCATCCCAGAATGAGAACATCCATCCCAGACCGTGCACATCCATCCCAGACCGTGCACATCCATCCCAGAATGGGAACATCCATCCCAGAGTGTGTACATCCATCCCAGACCGTGCACATCCATCCCAGACCGTGAACATCCATCCCAGAATGGGAACATCCATCCCAGAGTGTGTACATCCATCCCAGAGTGTGTACATCCATCCCAGACCGTGCACATCCATCCCAGAGTGTGCACATCCATCCCAGACTGTGCACATCCATCCCAGACCGTGCACATCCATCCCAGACTGTGCACATCCATCCTAGAACATCTACACCCATGCCAGACTGTGTATTTCCATATTGGACCAGGCACACCCACTCTGGACTGTGCTCCCCTATCCTGAAACAGGTCCCCCCTAATCCCAGACCATGGACACCATCCTAGACTGCATCCACATCCAGGACACGCACCCCATCACTGCCCACACCCTGCATCCCCATCTCGGTGCAGGAATTCCCCTCTCCTCCCGTTCCCACCCTCCCAGACACCAGTGCTGCCACCAAGGTGTCCCCCAGGG